TAAAATTTTTAATAATTTAATTTTAAATATTTATTATTAATAAAAAATATATTAAAAATTGCTATTTTATATTCTATATAATGTTATATAACCTTGTACAACCTCAATTATCTTAAAAAATACTATATAGAATTTTATAATTTTTTTTTTATTTAAAAGCTTTAAATTTAATAAGTTTATTATATAATTTTTAGTTTAATATCTTTTTTAATTAACTTGTTATAAATTTTTAAAAAGTGTCTACAATAATATGATAGGTAGTTGTAGATCATTTGCATAGGCTGCTATCTTAAAAGACTTTTCTTTAATTTGAATTCCAGACAGGCTTTTATTGAAAGCTTGAAAAAAAGGATTACAGACTAAAATGTATAAGAGAGGAGAAAGAAAGTTTTACTGTTTAACTTCTTATTCTACTTTAAAAGGTTCCGAGGTTTTACTAACATCTCTGATATAAGCTTGTTGTGAGATGAATAATGTATAAATTACTTGTCTAAATTTATTATCAAAGTTTATTTTTTTTAGAACTAGCTGTAGGTAGAAATGATTAACTCTGTCAAAAGTTTTTTGTTGATCAAGAAGTAATAGCTAGTATTGTTTGGATTGGTCTATTTGGTTCTTAATAACTGTTAAAATATTAAAAACTGTATTAGTTATAGATTTGTCTGCAATAAATATTTGTTGTTCTGACCTGATTAGTTGGTTGCATATTGGGTTAAGATGATTTGCCAAAATTTTTATGAAGATTTTAGCATCACTATTGACTAGAGAGATGAGTCTCCAGTTGTTAATATCTTTTAAGTCATCTAATTTTTTAAGAATAAAAGTAATTATACTTTTGTTTTATGAGTGTAGCATGTAGTCTGTGTCTATAACATAGTTGAAAAATGTTGATAAAAATGGAAGTATTTCTTTTTTTGCATTTTTGTAAAATTTGTAAGTTAATTTATCTGACCTAGGAGTTTTATTGTTGGACAAGAAGTCAATTATTATGCTAATTTTTTTTTCTAATATGTTTTGTTAGTTGATAGTTTTGTATCAAATTAGTTCTTTGATAACTTCTATATTAAATTTTTTTTGTTTTGTATATTGTTTGGTATTTGTCTCTAATGTTAGCTAGTACATTGGTAGAGTTCTGTGAAGCTGTATTATTAGGTATTTCTATCTTTACTATATAGGAGTTGCATGTTTTGCTTTGTAGAAGGAGTAGAAATATTTTGTAAACTTTTCTTCTTCTTCTATCTATTTAGCATTTGACTAAATTTGTTATTTCTCAGAAAAAGATATAACTTCTTCTTATATTAATATTTTGGTATATTTAGTAATAAGTTGAAAACTTCTAAATCAGAATTATTAGCAATTTGGTTGTTTAGTTTGCAAAGGTGCTTGACTAATATGATTAATCTGAGAATTCAGATTGATGTTAAAATCCTTTGATATGATAGTAATAGCATTGTCATTATTAAGTGATGTCCAGTTGTTAAAGAATTAATATCTATTATTCCAACTAGAGGGTGCATAAACATTTGTAAGTAAATAAAGCCTATTTTTGAAGATTATTTTTGCTAATATCACTCTGTTGTTGTGTAAGATTTTGGGGTTCTTTAGTTTGATGTTTGGTTTTTCAATTAGAATAGCTGTTTTGAAAGACCAAATTGAGTTGTAATTTCATTGTTGTGCTAGAAATCTTCTTGTTGCAGAATCATTTAGATTTGTTTTTTGAATAAATATTATATTTAACTTATAAGACTTTAAAAGTATTAAAGTTTTTTGAGCCTTAATTCTATTGTTAAAACCCTTGACATTCAGTGTAGCAATTTTAATCATGAGATAAAAAGAGGTATGTTGGCCATATAGCAGTTTGTTCTGAGTGAGAATGATTAACTAGTAGAGTAAGAAGTCTGTTCGGGCATTTTCTGTTCTATTTTTATTACTTTCCTTACTTGCTATAAGGGTTTTCTTTTTGCTTTCCTTTTAGTTGTTCTTTTTTAAAGTAATCAGAATAAAATTTTTCTTTTTAGGTTTGTTTTCTTTGTTGCAATTCAATAGTTCTATTGTTATATTTTAGTTATAGTTTGCAGTAGATGTTTCATTATCTATGTTCTTGTGGCTAACTTTTATTAAAGATGAACTATGTTTTAAAATAAAGATACTAGTTGTGTTTTTCTAAAAGTGAAGACCTAATCATCTATAGTATTAGTTAAGTCATTTTCTTTTAGTTAATTAGAATTTGGTACATTAATGTTTGGTTTATCTTGTTCTGTAACTATATCTGAAATGTATAAGTTTTCTAAACTATAAGATATATTTTTTGTTTGTATTTTTTGGTTAAGTTTGTTTGCTTTTTTTAGAGATTTCTTTTATTCTTTTTGTAACTGTCTTAGTTTTATTGAAGCTTTAAGTTCTGCACAATCTTTTTTAATATATCTTATTTTTTTATAGTAATAATATATTTTTGGAGCCTTTTTTCAGTCTGTAGTGACTTTGTAGTCTCTAATATATGAATTATTTAATATTTCAAAAGTTACAATCTATTGGTCAAAGCATATTGGAGTTCCTTTATATAGAAGTGGTTTTATAGAAGCAATAGTGCCAATATCTTAAAAGCTTCCTTAATCTGTTTATTAATGGCTTCTTTATTATCTATTAGTGTGTTTTTTAATTTAACTAAAAGAAATATACACTTAAGATTAACTAGAACATATCTAAAGAATGTTTGCTTAAACATTGTAATTCTTTCTGAAGCATACAGTTGTTATTTGTTTTTATCTGAGAAGGCTATTTCTAAAAAAGTCAGTCTGCCTCTGATAATATGAGTTTTCACTGCTAGCATATCATCTTTCAGTTTGATATAGAAGTTGAGATAATGTTATTGGTAAGTAGAAAAGGTTGCCTTATCTTTTTTTAGGTTTGAGAATAAATCTGACAATGTATGGATTTGTTATTAGCTAGTTTGTTATTTATATCATCTGATGTTGTACTATTGATAATATTGTCTTGTGTATCAATTATATTATGTATAATATGCACATGTTCTGTATCTGTTTGTTTGTTGTTTTCTGTATTTATCATTGCACATATCATGCTATTTTTTACCTTGTTGTTTTTACTTGTAGAAGAAGTAGCTTTTTGTTTGCCTTTACCAACTAGTTTTTCTTCTTGTTCTATGTTACTGGCCTAGCTTTTATCACCTTGGTTATTGCTTTTATTTGGTTTACTATTTGGTGAATATGACATGTATGCTACTTCTGCTTCTATAATAGAAGTTTTTCTTTACTCTGATGACAAGTTGAAGTCTTTTTTTTTAGCTTTAATGTTAAGAAGTTTTGGTTTTTTAAGTATTAAGCTGCTCATGTTTGACAAAAATAACTTTCTTTTCTTAAGTATAAGAGTTTTAGCCCTATTAAAGGAGTTTTAAAAAAAATTTTTTATTTAGTATTTGTGAAATTTTACTTTTTTTGTATTGTTACCAAGTGTACTGAAAAGAGTTTTTTGGTATTGTATATTTTAGTACAAAAGTTAAATATTTATTTTGTATAAATAAACATGTTTTTTGCTAGTTTATTGCTTAGCTAAAAGCCTTATTGTTTAGCATAGCCTTATTGTTGGTTGTAAGACATAATATAATAAACCTTATAACTTAGATATAAGCTTTTTTTTATTATAAAAGCATTGTAAATAAATTTAAATTTTAATATATAAAATAGATGTTTATTTTGTATAAATAGATATGCTTTTTGTTAGCTTATTGCTTAGCTAAAAGTTTTATTGTTTAGCACAGCCTTATTATTTATTATAAACTATAATATAATAAGCTTTTTAGCTTAAATATAGGCCATTTATAAGCCTTTTTTTATTGTAAAAGTTTTATAAACAGGCTTAGATTTTAATATATACAATAGATATTCATCTTATATAAATAAAACATGCTTTTTGTCTTTCTAAAAAAATAGTTCTAAACTAATTCTTCTTAAGAATTAATAAAAACTTAAAATTCTTTTTTATTTCAATATAATAAAAAATAACCTTTTGTTGATTAGTATACACTTTCTCTCAAACATATAAGTTTTGGAATAAAGTAACCCTTTTGTTAAAAATAAGAGTAAATAACAAGGCAAAACTAGCTAGAATATTTACTAAAACAAGGGCTTTTGTCTTTGTTTTAAGAAAAAGGTTCTTTACAGAATCACAATATACAAAAAGCATAAAAATAACAAAAAAAATGGCATTAACAAGTAGCAGAAAAAAGTAAAAAAAAACAAAGAAAATACATCAAGCTCTTTAAGCTTAATAACTAACATAATGAGATTACTAAATATAAACAAAAAGAAAAGCAGATACTAAAAGAAATCACTAGTAAAAACCCAACAAGCTGAAACAAACAAGTTGAACTAAAAATAAAAAATATGAAAGCTATTCAAGACCAAAAAGTAAACAAGAATAACACATCCAAAGATACTATAAACATAACAACAAACAACATGTTTGAGGAACAGGTAATATTAGACAACTTAGAGAAAATTGAAAATACAACAGAACAGAAGCTAGACATAACAAAAAATTTACAAAGTACAGTTTGTCAAATGAAACACATAAAACTAACTCTTACAATGATTTATAAAAAGACAGTGACAGACAAAAAGGCCCAAAAGAAACACTAACTAAACAGTAGTCTAGTCTTTTTTCAAAGTTAAAAAGAGAACAGTTTACCTACTCTTCTTTCATGCCCAGAAGTCAAATTAGATCAAAAAATGAAATGATCTAATAATAGATATTCAAGGCATGCACAGCTCTTTTAATGAAATTATGATCTTATTATTTAAGAACCTCAAAGAGGACATCATAACAGCAAAACAACACTTTATGAAAGGAATATATATATATTTAAAAATTGTATTTAAAAACAAAAACAAATTAAAATATCATGCTATTAAGAATATTAATATTTTTGGCAAAACCTATTTTGGTTTTATTTCTACAGATTCAAAAAAATTCTTCCTTCTAGTCAAGATTAGAAATGTTTTACTAAGAAACAAAGAAGCATTATTTAATACTATAAAAGAAGCCTTTAAGTTTATTAATAGAATTGCCTCGATTAAGTCTTTATTGATTGAAGGAATACTATATCTTATGGACCAATAAATTATAATTTTTGAAAACTAAGATAACCCTAACTTAGAAAACAAAATTCCTCATTTCACACATTTGTAAAACAATAAAGTTACAACAAAATGAAAATCAGTGCACAAAATATGCTATTTCTGCAAAAAAGATGATCATGTCAAAAAAGAATGTTAACAATTTCAGGATTTAGTAAACTTACAAATTAGTTAACAAAAATACAAAGAGAATAAACATAATAGAAGATTCTCAGATGACTTTCAAGAGTCAAATGAGACTCTAGAAAACACTAAGCAAATTAATAAAAAATCTTTATTATTAGAAAATCTGGAATACCAGAATTAGATAATGCAAAAGATAATGCATATATGGCCTTAAAAGAGACTGATCCTAACTATTAACAGAACTTTTAGCCCCTAGTTCTAACAGAACTAGCTATAATCAACATTAGCTCAGATAAAAAAATGCAAATGACAACTCAAGAAGATCCCTTACCAGGTATAGAAATGCTGCCAAGAGATAAACTTGCTATTTATAGCTATAAAACATTACATCTATCTGCAAGTCACATTTCCAAGACAGCATTCTCTTCTAACAAAAATGAAGAAACAGATAGCTTTATTACAGTTACTAACAAGAAAACAAAAAAAGGAAACAGAACATCTAAAAATGATAAGACAAGATCATCTCCTTATAAGAAAACTCATGGAGAAGAAAGTTATTTCCAATATAAGAAATCCAACAACCTCTTATAATTATGTTTCAAAAAGCCAAATTAAAAATAGCAACACTAAATGTAAAAGGACTTAATAACAAAAGCAAACAACAAAATTCATTAACTCTTTTAAAATTATACAAATTAGACATAATAATGCTTCAAAAAACTAATCTTAATAATGAAAAAACACAAAAATTTCTTAAACAACAATGAATCTACAACTCAATCTAAACTAAAAAAATAGCAATTCTAGCAAAAAACAAAGACATCAAATTCAAAAACATTTAGACAAACTATAAAGAAAGAATAATAACAACAAACTTTGTATTTAAAGAATATTTCTTCAAAATAACAAATGTTTATGCACCACCAAACATCAGTGACAGAATAATCTTTTTTAACAATTAAAAATCTTTAATCAAAGAAAATAATATAAATATTATAGCAGATGACTTCAATATCAATCTTAATTCTAATAATAACAGGATTAGTCAAGCAACAGCCCAACATGACTCAACTAGAACTCAGCTCTACAACTTAACAAAAGAATTTATTAACATAGCAGAGATGTCAAGCACCAAGTTCTTCTAACTTTTTTTCAAAAAACACAAAATAACTGCTTAATAGTTACATGTTTGAACTACATCTTTATAGATCAGAATCATAATCACCTTATATCAGAAGTTAGTATATACTTTGGTAACTCAGACTATCTTCTAGTAAGATATATACTTAAATTCAAAAAAAATTATAAACAGCCTTTAGCCTGAAGGTTCAATAAAGAATCTTTTAAAAATGAATTACTAAAAAGAGAGGTGCTAAAGGAAATTTAGGATGCTAACTTAGCAGAAAACTGAGATTTATGTAAAATATATATATAATCAATTATTAGAGCCTTTCAAAAACCCAAAGCTCCTGAAAACAAAATGACAAGACTAAACAAAAATATTACAAAGTTAAGTAAGAAGCTTGCAGCAAACTTCTCAAAAGAACATCTTAATGAAAATATAAAAGAACTTAACTAAGATGGCTGAGTCATAGCTAATTCAGTCAAAGACACAATAGATTAAAAATGAAGAAAACTTAACAAAATACTTTTTTTCAAGATACAAAACAAGAAAGTCACAAAGTACTCAATCCAAAGTTGAAATACCTGAAATTTCAAGCTCAGAAAATGAAAATACAATTACATATATTAAAAACTAATATATGAAAATCTATAAAAAAAAAATATAGACCTCAAGGCAGTATAAGAAATTACTGAAAGTCTTCTACAAGTATTACAAGACCAAAATAACAATTTAGTCAAAAGAATTTTACAGAAAGAAATAATCCAAGTAATACAAGGTCTTTCTAATAACAAGTTATTTAGCACTAATAGGCTGACTTATGAATTCTACAAACTTACATTATTAGAAATAGCATTAGTTCTTAAAAAGGTATTCAATCAAGTATTAGATACTGGCTGTTTACTTGACTTATAATGCAGAAACATAATTATATTAATTCCTAAAAAATCAGAAAACTTAAAGGATCTAAACAACTGGCACCCAATCTTATTAGTAAATTGTGATGCCAAAATCTTTATAAAAATTATAGCAAATAGACTCAATATAATTTGCAAGAAAATTATTTTTAGCTACCAACAAGAATTTGTTTCTAGAAGATCAATAACAAACATGGTCATAGATATAATTACTACATTAAGAAGCTAATTAGATAATTCTAAGCAGCACTAGATGCTTTTGATAGATCAGCAAAAGGCATTTGACAGAGTAAATCATAACTTTCTAAATCTGGTTTTGAAAAAAATAAATTTTGATAAAAAAATAACCAACTTGATGGCCAACCTCTTCTTAAACCAAATAATGCATATTATAAAAAGCAATGTTCTGTCTGAACTCTTCAGAGTAGAAAGAGAAGTACAACAAGAAAATCCTCTCTCTTTCTTACTATATGTGTTTGCTTTTGAACCACTACTTATACAACTAAAAAGAAACATTCAAGGAATTTCTTTAAAAAATTAATTCTTTAAACTGTCAGCTTATGCAAATGACTTAACATTAAGAATAAGTCTATCATCAGATTGGACAAGCATTATGCAGCTTTTTGAAACCTATAAAGCTATCTTCAATACAAATATTAACAAAAGCAAAACCAAATTAGTGCCTTTTACAAGCACAGTTTACAGAATTAAGCTTGAAGATAAATCCCAATTTATGAAAACTACAGAACATAAGATACTAACAATTCTTGGTTATAAAGTAAATACAAAAAGTATTTCAAAAAAAGACTTATAAACAACAACAATTGCCAAAATAAAAAAAACACTAGAGAAATCATCTAATTGAGATCTTTTTTTAGAAGAAAAATTCTTTTAGCCAAGGCATTTATACTC